ACCAGTCAGTCCAACTCTCTGTCTCTGTAGACCAGTCAGTCCAATTCCTCTGTAGACCAGTCAGTCCAACTCTCTGTCTCTGTAGACCAGTCAGTCCAACTCTCTGTCTCTGTAGACCAGTCAGTCCAACTCTCTGTCTCTGTAGACCAGTCAGTCCAACTCTCTGTCTCTGTAGACCAGTCAGTCCAACTCTCTGTCTCTGTAGACCAGTCAGTCCAACTCTCCAGTCCCAGTTCATAACACATGAAACGAACCCCAACTTGAAGATTATTCTGTTGAATTTCTTACCCTAGGATTAAGAGTTGTATTTTATTTGTTATTTTTCAGATTGCAATGCACATGTTCATAAGAGTTGTAGAGAAAGCCTGCCTGTCTGTGCCAAGGTGGAAATGAAGGTAAGGAAAGAACCGTATTTACAACAGACTCTTTTCAGCCAATAGAATGAGGCGCATACAGGACATCATGTGACAGATATGTATTTACACTACTAAAGTACTGGATTGTTTTTCCTCCAGTTGCCCAAACAGCAGTTTGCGGTTCCAGATTCAGCCACCATTCCTGTTGTCACCCGAAGAACCAAACGAGAGTTAAAACGTGAGTCCATCTTAAATCTATTCAATACTCACACTGTTAGAATCAAGACCCACCACAGCCCTGTCCTGGTCCCAGATCTGCTGTTGTTCACCAGTTAGAATCAATCAATCAAATTTATAAAGCCCTTTTTACATCAGCAGATGTCACAAAGTGCTATACAGAAACCCAGCCTAAAACCCCAAATAGCAAGCAATGCAGATGTAGAAGCACGGTGGCTAGGAAAAACTCCCTAGAAAGGCAGAAACTTAGGAAGAAACTTAGAGAGGAACCAGGCTCTGAGGGGTGGCCAGTCCTCTTCTTGCTGTGCCGGGTGGAGATTATAACAGTACATGGCCATTAACGCCAGATTGTTCTCCAAGATGTTAAAACGTTCATAGATGACCAGCAGGGTCAAATAATAATCACAGTGGTTGTAGAGGTTGCAACAGGTCAGTACATCAGGAGTAAATGTCACTTGGCTTTTCATAGCTGAGCATTCAGAGATCGAGACAGCAGGTGAGGGAGAGAGAGAGAGAGCGAGAGAGAGACAGAGAGACAGAGGGAGAGTCAAAAACAGCAGATCCGGGACAAGGTACTGTAGCACGTCCAGTGAACAGGTCAGGGTTCCAAGGTACTGTAGCACGTCCAGTGAACAGGTCAGGGTTCCAAGGTACTGTAGCACGTCCAGTGAACAGGTCAGGGTTCCAAGGTACTGTAGCACGTCCAGTGAACAGGTCAGGGTTCCAAGGTACTGTAGCACGTCCAGTGAACAGGTCAGGGTTCCAAGGTACTGTAGCACGTCCAGTGAACAGGTCAGGGTTCCAAGGTACTGTAGCACGTCCAGTGAACAGGTCAGGGTTCCAAGGTACTGTAGCACGTCCAGTGAACAGGTCAGGGTTCCAAGGTACTGTAGCACGTCCGGTGAACAGGTCAGGGTTCCAAGGTACTGTAGCACGTCCAGTCAACAGGTCAGGGTTCCAAGGTACTGTAGCACGTCCGGTCAACAGGTCAGGGTTCCAAGGTACTGTAGCACGTCCAGTGAACAGGTCTGGGTTCCAAGGTACTGTAGCACGTCCAGTGAACAGGTCAGGGTTCCATAGCTGCAGGCAGAACAGTTGAAACTGGAGCAGCAGCACGACCAGGTGGACTGGGGACAGCCAGGAGTCATCAGGTCAGGTAGTCCTGAGGCATGGTCCTAGGGCTCAGGTCCTCCGGGAGGGGAGGGAGAGAGGTAGAGAGGGAGAGGACTGGGGACAGCCAGGAGTCATCAGGTGGACCGGGGACAGCCAGGAGTCATCAGGCCAGGTAGTCCTGAGGCATGGTCCTAGGGCTCAGGTCCTCCGGGAGGGGAGGGAGAGAGGGAGAGAGGGAGAGGACCGGGGACAGCCTGGAGTCATCAGGCCAGGTAGTCCTGAGGCATGGTCCTAGGGCTCAGGTCCTCCGGGAGGGGAGGGAGAGAGGGAGAGAGGGAGAGGACTGGGGGCAGCCAGGAGTCATCAGGCCAGGTAGTCCTGAGGCATGGTCCTAGGGCTCAGGTCCTCCGGGAGGGGAGGGAGAGAGGGAGAGAGGGAGAGGACTGGGGACAGCCAGGAGTCATCAGGCCAGGTAGTCCTGAGGCATGGTCCTAGGGCTCAGGTCCTCCGGGAGGGGAGGGAGAGAGTGTTCACAAGTTACAATACAATCCAAGTCTGCATCTCAATGCATCTCATCTGTTCCCTATAGTGCCCTACAGGGCTTTGGTCATCATTAGTCCCTATAGTGCCCTGCAGGGCTTTGGTCATAATTAGTGCACTATGTAGGGATTAGGGTGCCATGTGGGACGTATCCCAATACTAACCTACCACATCCCTCTCCTAATGCTGTCCCTCTCTTATGACATCACAGCGGCTGCGTCGCGGGAGCGGCCCTGGTCAGCCATCTTGTCTCC